TTCATTTGATTCATGAGATTTGGTATTCATTCTTGCATGTAGCCATTGGAATTCCCTGTGCGGACAAACCAGATTCCTCGCCAGATTCCTGAGCAAAGTTTCTACACACAGCCCATTCCAGGTATTTGGATTTTATTTGGCTTCACTTGAGAATCCAATAGACAAACTTTTCCCCCAGTTGCAGACCTGTTGGACTGAATATAGTCATAAAATATGCAATGGGAGCAAAATTATATCAGGAATAATTGTGGAAATTTCAGAAATTCTTTACTCATGTGAAAAAGGATCAAATGGATTCAGCTATTACTGCTTGAAAGGGTAATAAGGGAAGTGATACAGGGATACATGAAGGTGGTGGTCATGTGACAAATATAAATTCTAGTCATTAAGTTCATGCTCAAACTTAGCTAACAGGGCAGAGATGCTGATTTTCAGGTATTTATGGTAAATCTGTTACCCACTTGCAATTGGTTTTACTGCTGAGTGTTCATAGTTACCAATTGGCAATAAATATTAGTATGCTCTGCTGTTACTGAAATTTGCTCATGAGTGTGTGTAGTTAATTGGGTGGGTTTTGTTCTTTCTTTCATTCCACCTCATGGATAGAAGCAAGATAAATATTCCAACATGTGAACCTTTTTTGTTTTGTAGATTGATGGAAAGTAAAGTTTTTCCTTAAAAACAAATGTGATGATTTGAAGTAAAAAATTTGCCTGCTGGATACCAGTGAGATTTCCTTAGCCCTTTGTACGTAATTATTGTTGAGCAAGCCCATCCACACTGATCATATCATGATGTCTCTGTAGGTATCATCATGGGAGGGATCCTCCCCTTTGGTTGCATCTTCATCCAGCTCTTCTTCATTCTCAACTCAATCTGGTGCCCCATACTTCATCTATTTCAGAATCAGTGCAACATTTGAGTGGATTTATTTAATTAATATTTTTTTGTGTAGGTCAAGTCAGGTGTACTACATGTTTGGATTCCTGTTCCTGGTTTTCATCATCCTGCTTATCACCTGCTCTGAGACTACTATACTCCTCTGCTATTTCCACCTCTGTGCTGAGGTGTGACACAATCCCTGAGTCAGCAACTTTGAACAGAAAATTGAAAAAAAGGAAATTAAAATGGAAGAACATAAATTATTTTTATTGTTATATTTGAACTTGTTTTGTGGCCGAAAACAGTGGCAGGTAGACTTAGGTAAATGCTCTGAAGCAGTTTCCAATCTCCTGATTTTTTTCCTTTAGAATCTTTTGGATATATGATGGGTCATGACCCCATCATTTTGGAAAATTTGTAGAAGAAAAAATCCAAGTACTGGTCATTCCTTCTTTTTTAGAACAAATTTTCCATTCTCTGGTGACAGCCCAGTTTGCTTGATGGGAAGCAAAGTCTGGGACATGATGAGACCCATAGATTGTAAATAGACTTCCATAGACATGGAATATGCATAATACAGTGTGACTTTAACAATAGAAAACCGAAGGATTTATTTATTATTATTAAGGATTTATTCAAGATTATTCACAAATGATTTACAAATATTCAAAGTGTTGTTAAAGGCGTGCTAATTGCAATCCTTTGGTTTTCTACTGGGCACCCTGTAGTTTCATGGCCAAGAACAGAGAAGTCTAGTCTGGGGCATTTGTGTGAGAGCCTCCCATATGTAAATATGTCAAATGAGGCCAAAATTCAAGTTAGATTGAACAGAAAACACAGTTTTTCTCTGCTCCCATCCCCTGAATTGACCTTACCCAAGATCCATGTACATTTATCTGACGGTTTTCATCTCATCATATCTCATACTGCTGGGCTTGGATGTAAAAGAGTACTGCCAATGTTTGCTGTTTGGGCTCCATTATGAGTATTTATGTCTTTGTATCAATTGCAGTGGTTAGGACTACCTGTTTTTGGTTTGTGTTTTGACAATGGAATTAAACCTTTATTTTGTTTCTTGCCTGTGGTGTAACAGGACTACCACTGGTGGTGGAGAAGTTTCCTGACAAGTGGGAGTACTGCATTGTACCTCTTCATCTACTGTGTCCACTACTTCTTCACCAAGCTGGACATCAAGGGGGGGATCTCCACTTTTCTGTACTTTGGATACACCTTCATGTTTGTCTTTCTCTTCTTCCTTCTCACTGGTAAGTCACCTCACACCATATTAGTTGTCTCTCACATAAAGAATGAATCTTTTATAAGTAAGCAGCATAGGTGATGAATATAAATGGAATCCCTATGAAAAGTAGTTGGCTGTTTAAGGAAATAATAAAGTCAAATTGAAATAGGTTGTTCTTTGTGGCTTTGATAGCATTACTGTGACCCATCCAAACTAGGTGGAATTTCTCTACTTGGAGAAAACTATTCATGCTCTGTTTAGATATTTAACATCCATGGTTGGTCAGTTGTGTTTCTACATAACAATTTAAGCTTTTGGACTTCTTAAGTGTTTAATGTGTATGGAAAGGTACACGTGCCCTTTTCCAATGCCAAGGAATGTATATATGAACTTACTTCCTAGTGTTCAGTCATTTCATCATTGAAATGATCCATGGCATATTGTACTCAGCATATTGCAATATAAATAATGCTCCTAAAGTGATCAAGACAATGTTATGCTTCATCAAACTTGATGGGTTCGGTTCTGAATGGGCTGTTTGGTTTTAGTTGCTGTTCTCTTAATGGCAGTTTTTGTCCATTTTGAGTTGGCTCTTATTTAGCATCTTGGCTGTGATTCAGGTGAGTGATTTTTGGCTAATGACTTAGTACAAAGTAAGTGGCTCTGGGGCATTCTTGAAATTGTTGGCAGTTTGGAGCAATTAAAAACAAAGGCATATCTGGATAATTAGATCTTGTTCATTTATTTCTCCAATTTTTTTTATTAGGGTGGAAGTGACCTCTGGCCTGAACTTGGTCAGATGTCAAGGGTACTTGGCCTAAATGTTTGGATCTCATGCACTCATCCCTTGATAATACACAAATGAACAGAGAACAGTCTCTTATCCAAAGTCCCAATGCCCTTTGAGAAGTTGTGGGGGGGAAAATTTCAAGAAAGTCTTCTAATATTCACCATTGGAGGAATAAATTTATTTGCTTGTTTCATGCAAAGTCTCTTGAAGAGGCATATGCACAAGTCATGGCTTACTTGAAGCCTGTTTTTAATTTGTATGTGCTTACTTGTTTCTGCAATATTACCTATGGAAACATATATTAGACCATAATTCAAGATTCTTCATAATGTCTTCTGTGACTCTTGAAACCCTCTTGAAAATTATTGTTTCATTACATTCACTGCAGTAGGCAGATAGGTATACCATCCTTGAGGTGAATATCACAGAACAGCCTCAAATACCAGTGCTGTCAAATTTTTCTTTAAAATGGTGTGTACACATCCTAGTGCAGTTTAATTAAACTGCACTAGGATGTGATATGTGCTTAATGATTCATTTTTGTGTCGTATTGAAATGGAATTGAAAAGAGTGTATTTCATTTATACAATTTGGAAAAACTGCAAGCCTGGTGGCAAGGAAGAGACTCAAGAGGGGAGGGGGGGGGTTTGGACTTGCCTCATAGCCATCATCCATATTCCCCTTCCTCATTCATGCATTCTTTCCTTACCCCCTTGCTTCCTTGCCTTGCCCATGATTCTTAACTGGTGTTGAACTTGCCCTTGATTATCTAATTTTTTGTAGCAGAGTCTCCACTCCTTCAATGAGCTCATTCCAAACCTGAACATTATTTTATTGTTTGAGATTGAATTTGAACTATATCCAGACCACAATAGAGTGAACACAAGCTGACATGGCTTGGATACTTCCCATGGATGCCATTTTTCTGTTTTCTTCTTCATGTCATTTTTAATGGAGTCTCCTCTCTACATAGCAGGAACATTTTTTTGCTATGAAGCTTTACTTCTAAATTTACAGGGATTTTACTGATTTAAGCTAGTTTTTACTGCAAAAAAATGTTTGCTTTGATATTTGCATCTGTTATGTAATGTAAACATTAACCTAGAATGGGCTGTCTGACTCTCCCTCCTTTTCTCCAACCCTCAGCCATCTCCACACCATTGTCTTTGGACATCCTCTTGTAATCTCCTCTCCCTTATTCATTCATTGCATACCTTATTACCTCATGTTGCTGTGATGGTGCCCCAAAAGGGTACTCATTTCTAGACTTGGTTTCATTGAATTTGTCTTCATATTAGGTTTGATTTTCATGAGATATTCCTTCATCTGGAGTATGCTGGCTTACAACCTGTTTTTTTTATTTTTTGCAGGAACCATTGGCTTCATGGCCTGCTTTTGGTTTGTGCGCAAAATCTACAGTGTTGTCAAGGTGGACTGAAAATAGTTTCTGCACTCTACATGCACTGCTCCCATGTGATAATCCAACAGCTGGGTGGTTTTTCTTGTTTAGCATTATGTAGTTTTCATCTCAAATGAAAATTTCCCTCTGTGAATGGCGATCAGCTCCTCTCGTTATAGATTCATATTGATCCCTCCCTTGGTTCTTGTTATTTATATGCAAAAGTTTTGCACCTTTGTGGGCATTGGAGCAGAGAGTGCTCTGTTTTGAATGTGGTTTTCTCCCTTCTATTGCGATGGTGATCATGTGATTATGTTTTAAGCACTGATGATAATCATAGTCTTATTGAAAATTGATTTGTATTATCTGAATGAAGCTGCACATAGAAGGTAGGGAATTGTGGCTTTTGTGTTTTGGTTGTACCATGGGAATGAAAAGAGAAGGAGCAGAGATTGCAGCAATGCAATCTGGGTTTCTAAAGGGCCCTCCTGGCTTGATTGATTCAGGACTTTCAATGGCTGAAACATGTTCTGAGTATTTTGATGGAGATCATTTCTTGGGGCTGAGCATCTTATTTTAAGGAGTATACGGACAACAAATCATGTTTTCTAAATGTGTTTTGTGCGAACTATTAGAATGTGATGGCAAAGTACTTAATACTGGAGAGAATAGTATATATTTTTTCAAGATGATATTGGGTGTAAGGTGGTTCATATTTAACCCCAGCATTTTCAAGTTCACCATGTCTCCCACTCCTACCTGCTGCTTTGTGTCAGCTTAAAATTTTGCTTCTTTCTTTGGTATTCCCTGCTTCTAATAGCTGATCATATCCAGAGAAGGTGTGAATAAAGCAGCACGTCGTGCCTCATCATCCTGGTGATGAATGCCCATGGTATTGGTTTCTCAGAACACAGTGAATGTTTCTGCGAAGGAAATTCATGCCAAGAGTTTAATTCTTGGATTTTCTGCCCTTGTGAAGTTTCTTCAGTCACAGGATTTTTTCTAGCCATTTTTGCTGGGGATTTGTTCTGCTCTTTTCCCTTCGGCTTCTACATGAGTTTTGGTTACGAAGCTCCCAATCAGCAGTTTTCTTGAAGGCTAGGCATTCAGATGGGTTTGGTTGATCTGATTATTGGAAGCATTGTCAACTTGCCAATTTCATGAAACTCCTACTCTTAGGGTACTGGATTTTTCATTAGAGTGGTTGTTTGTAATAATCATTCAAATCACCTGTATTGTTAAAAAAAAAAGAAGTAAATTGATGAAATACTGAAGTCGGTGGGAAGTTCTGCCATTTGCAAATACTGGGTTGGATGATGTGAAAGTCTTTCCATCAGCCATGAATATCTCACTGTTATAGTTTCTTTGTTTCATTTGTAGACATTCCAATTCCACTCAGAGGGTGAAATCTTTGGCATACAATTAAATGCCGTTCTATCACCAGGTTTTGTAGAGTTATTGTTCACTGAGTTCACTGGTGAAGCTGCAATCATCAGAAAAGTTAGAGTACAGGTAGTCTCTTTACTTTGCTTGTACAAAAATATTCCAACTTTTAGGAGCTTGGCAGTGAAATTTTGCATTACTGCTCTTCAGGTTGAACATAGGAATAGTATTTATAGAATTTTGTTAGAAAAAACTCATTTTTAATGCCACAGGACAGCTGAATGCAACAGAAAGCTTTCACTGTAAATTCCATTTCAAACTGCTCACACACATGGCCAGCTCGTCCTACAGGCCTAGAAAGCCAACCGTCTTGCAGACCTCTTTTTTCATTTGAAAAAAATTTCACATTTTTTCATCATTCTGTCATGCCCTTGTCCTCGAATTTAGTAGAGACAGTGGGTGGAGCCTTGTTGCATGATCCAAATTTCGAGTTTAATCATCCTATCCACATTGCCAAAGTGTGAACATCCTGAGTATAGGTGGTTCAGACTTTAGTTATCTCGGGACTAGTCTTGCCCTGCATACTATCCTGTTGTCAGACTACTTTTGTATCGGTGTGGGAAACATGCCTTCATGGCTCCATAAAAAATGAAACCTGGACAGATTTCATTTTCCTTGTGCCTAGCATTTCCTAAGGTGCTCACACATCCAGGTGTGGTTTGATGATTGACTGGACTACCATTCTCTGGAAAACTTTGGGACTTCGTGCCGATTTGTCTTCGTTGCTCGGCAATAATGGCACTCTCTAAGCCTATCTTTCAATCTTGACTGCATCAACCCCAGCCATGTGGCAATGACTGAGATCTGCTTGGTGACTTAAAAAGTTCATGTTCAAGGCAATGAAATCAAGAGGAGGGAAAATGTGTAATTCCCTGCTGAGGAGAAGCCAGCTGCATCACAGAATGGCAAGTTTGTCAGGACTCTGGTGCAGCACTAATGCTTAATTCACCTGTGTGAATTAAAATGACCATTTTAGAAGTGGAAAATACCATTTCTGAAGCAGAAATCTAAAAATTAAGAATAGGTTTATTAAATAATGTGACCATGGCCAGATTTGACTGGATGTGCTAACTTGCTAACCCAGATATTGAGAAACTTGCCTCCTTTTTTTTCTTCAAATTAATGGCTTGTCTAAGGTATTGACAAATACATTTCCACCCTTCTTTTTTTTCCTGGCTGAAAAATAAGCTCATACTGCAAAATCCATGTAATACTCTCCAATCATTAATTTGGTTCCTTCATCTAGTCACATGAGAAATTCCTGATTTTTTTGTTTTAATTTGTGCAAAGAAACTTGTTGAAGCTCAAATGAAAGCGAATGAGATTGATTAAGAGTTGACTGCAAAGAGGGAGGGAAAATCTTAGTGATGAGAGCAATCCCCCATGACCTTATTCTGAGAATGAGAATAACTGAGGAGTGAAGTCTTTTGTGTCTCAAATTCTCTGGATGAAGAGAAATGAGGAAGAGGGAAAGAGAATGGGAACACTTATTGAGATGGATTTTATCTCTTCTAGTTAGTACAGGTCAAGGAGGAGAATTGGCAAGAAGGCCTAAACAAGACTTGAAACAAATAGGTGCACTGAGAACTGCAGAATGACAGCATTCAAATTTAATGGGAAATCGTAATTTATGTTCCATTGGATTTCTGCAAGAACCTTCCTTGTCC